ACCCAGGCACAGAACTGTGAGAGGGCAAAGGAAATTGAGGGAACCGGTGAGAAAGGAAAGAAAAAGGAAGCAAAGGCAGGCAGAGTGGGGTGGCTGGGAACTGTTCATGAGACACAAGGTCACCACAAAGAGTGACAGTGAGGACAGGAAAGTCATGCCCAGCACCAGCCTGCTGACTCTGGGGAGAAAAACAGAGACAAGAAGAAAATAGAGACAGAGCTCCATGAGGCTGGAACCAAGAGCTCTGCCTTGGCCTAGGGACCATGACAGATTGGGATAAAAGTGCTGCTGACTGTGAAAGAAGTGAGAACTAGACATGGCTGAGGCCCAGGCCAAGCCACCTGGACACTGTGCCTATGCTCTTATCCACATTTCACAATGTCTCTTTAGAGTCCAGTATAAGGGTTCATTTCCAGCTTGGTCTGATGAGAGAGGCACTCTTGACAGGGGATTTGGAGGAGACACAGGAAAGGCGAGGAGCAGACTTGAGAAGAAACTTTACCCTTGCTCTACTCCCCTCAGTGGAAGCAGGGGATGTCAGGGACCCAGCGAGGAAAGTCTCTCACTAGAGGCCATGACAGACTCTCCTGGCTCCAGATGGACAGAGTTATAAAGGAGAAGTTACAGGACTGGGAAGCCTTGGCTTGGACGGCTGGGGCCCACACCCACCCCAGCCATGAAGAGGGCAAAGACATCTTGCTACCTTCATGTTCTGCAAGAAGACCTGTGGGTCTGCATCCGAGATACTGGAGACCTGAATCCACAGGTGAAACACAGTGAAACTAATGTTAGCCAGGCCCAGCAGCACGAGGCTCCCAGCCCCAGTCACCATGCAGGGCCAGAGAGCTTAACTGATGGCTGTCAACAGGAGGGTCTCTTACTCCCCAACCCCCAGGGATTAGCTCTTTGAAGTCAAACCTGCCCATCTGTGGAGACCCAGAAAGTGTTCCCAGTGTCTGTCCCTCCCAGCTGCAGAAGCCACTTCCACCACAGTCCAAGCTATCTGGTCACACGATGAGGAAGTAGTCTCACCATGCGGCCAGACAGGCAGGACTGTCTCATGGGAAGAGGCTCTACCCAATTCCTGCACTCGGGAAGGCTCTTTCATCTAGCTCATTGTCTGGTGAGGAGGAAATGGGTGCTGTTTGGGTCCATCCAGCAGTCCATGGACTTTAAGAATCAAGTAAGAAGCTGGGCATGGGGGCGCACGCCTTCAATCCCAGCACCTGGAGGCAGAGGCCCGTGGATTTCTATGAGTTCCAGTTTGAGGCCAGCCTGCTCTCTATGGTGAGTTCCAGGTCACCAGGCCAGCTAGGGCCACATAGTAAGACCCTGTCTCCAAAGAAAAAAAAAAAAGGGGGGGGAGGGTTGGAGGGAATGGGGGGAAAGTAGAGGTGTGCATTAGCTTGCACACCTGTAATCCTTGGGTCACACAGAAAAACCTACCTCAAAATGAAATGAAACAAAACAACCCAACTTTGCAGGACTTCTAAACCTTTCCGTGAGCAGCTATTAGGCCACTCCAAGTCTCACTATTTGGGGGACAAGCACAAAGGTCAAAGACTGGGGATGGACCAGGCTCACCTCAGCATCAGCTCCCAGCAGCCCGTCAACACTGTCTTTTGGGAGGGACCTGCAAAGAGATGTCCCCTAGATGACTTTAAAAATTAAAACTAGGGTCTGGGGGGTAACTCATTGGTGCAGCAAGTGTTTAGTATGTGCAAGGCCCTGGGTTCAATCCTAGCATCAGGAAAGGGAAGGAAGAAGAAGAAAGGAGGGGAAGGGGGGGAGGGCAGGCCAGTCAGGTGTAAGGGCCTACACCTGTTAGGCCACCACTTGGAAGGAGAGTCAGGAGGGTTAGGACTCCAGGTCACCCTCAGATACAGATCCAATTCTAGGCCAGTTTCCAACACACGAGACCCTGTCTCACAGAGCTGTGGGACAAACCACAGTGTCAAAATGAACTTGGAGAGATTTCCCCAGGAAACAGAGACAGAATAAGAATCTCACAGACAACTATGTGTGGTGGCGCATGCCTTTAATCCCAGCACTGGGGAGGCAGAGGCAGGTAGATGTTTGTGAGTTCAAAACCACCCTGGTCTACAAAGTTCCACAACAGCCTGGGCTACACAGAGAAACCCTGTCTCAAAACAAAACAAAGTCTCACCATGTAGTCCTCATTACCCTGGAACTTCCATGTAGGCCCAACCCACCTCAAGCTCACAGATCTCTAAATCTGTGGGGGGACTAAAGGCAGCCCCACCCCAGCTAGATGGACAAATGGCGGGCTCATTCGCAAGAGGCTGGGAAACTCTGAAAAGCAGGGATCTGAGCCATTCTCCCATTTCAGGGATAGGGAAACCGAGGGCAGAGTGATTTGGGGTGACCCAAGTAACAAGTGGAGTAGATGCCAGGCCTTCAGGCCCCCAGGCCTGGGGTCCTTTTACTCTGATTCCACCAAAAATCAGAGCTAAGGGAAAAGTAGAATCTCCCAACATCAACTGTGCACTGGCCAAGATGGAGTGCAGTGGGGGCAAGGGGGCTGGATAGAAATGTGCCAACAGGGCCTACCTTCCTTTAGCCTTGGACGGGGGCCACTGAGGGACGCTTGCTGTGTCTTTGGCATGTGAGGCTGGCTCAACAGGCTTCTCAAGCAGTGCTGCTGGGACAAGGAAAACAAGTAAAGACACATGGTGCAGTTCAGCCACAAACCCTGAAGTCACAATGAAGAGAACAGTGATTCCTCCACTTGGCTGTGTCCTGCACCTTCCCACGAAAAGGGCAGCTCGATGGCACACAGGCATGTCCTGATGCCATACTTGATAAACACGAAGAGAGTGGGTACATTTCTACGTAGAAAGTCAAACCCAGATGCTAGGAGTGCCAAATGGACAGTTCAACCCACTCCACCTGTGCCACGTGAAAAGGCAGAGAGATACAATGGCTTTCCACTATCCTAACTGTAGGTTCAAATACACAGGTTCTCCCTGGAAACAGAAGCCTGGAGACCCCTGGTGAGCTCTGCCCTGTCCCTCAGTGCAACAGCATGAACACAAACATTAAGTAAGAGGTTAGCTGGGCATGATGGCTCATGGTTAAATCTCAGCACCAGTGAGTCTAAGGTGGGGATTTCCTCAAGTTTGAGGTTAGCCTGAGCTGCACCGTGAGACCTCATCCCAAACATAATAAACAAACAAACAATAAATAAACAAATAGCCAGCAAGATGGCTCAGCAGGTAAAGGTGCTTGCCACCAAGTCTGATTCCTGTGTTCAATTCCCTCTGACTTACAAGTGTGCTACTGTACAAGCGTGCACCACTTCTCCAAAAATAAAAAGGAAAAAAAAAGAAACCTACAAGTTTTTTTTTTTTTTTTTTTTTTTTTTTTTTTTTTTTTTTTTTTTATTATTATTATTATTTTAGTTTTTTGAGACAGGGTTTCTCTGTGGCTTTGGAGGCTGTCCTGGAACTAGCTCTTGTAGACCAGGCTTTTCTCGAACTCACAGAGATCCACCTGCCTCTGCCTCCCAAGTGCTGGGATTAGAGGCCTACAAGGTTTTTTTAAAAGGAAGAATCTATAAGGAACTTGGGGCTGAGAGCGGTAGCTCAGTAAAAGAGATGGGCCCTGGGTTCCACTCCCAGCATTACAAACAATGTAGAGAAGAACAAAACGATAGAGTACGTGAGGACACTTGCAGCTCAACAACCAAAAGCCAAGAGCCTTAATCACAAATGGGCAAAGCTCTGAGCAGGTTTTTCCAAAGATGATGATAAATGTCATAAGCACATGAGAAGACACTCCCCAGCGTTAGGGAAACATACATCCCAGTCTCTCTCAGCATGGCCATAATCAAAATGACAGAGAGAGCCGGGCCTGGTGGCACAGCCCTGTGATCACAGCTGCGCTGGAATTTGAATGGAAAGTGTAGTGGCTCCCTGGGATACCCAGTGAGTTCAAGGCCAGCCTGAGCATCCCACTCATACCTCATCATAAAATAAAACTGCCCAGTGATACAGTGGCTGCCTAGCATTAGTCAGGCCCTGGGTTCAAGTCCCATCTCAACAAACAAACAAAAAGCAAATACAAATCACATGAAACACAAAAGACGGGAGCTAAGCATTGGTGGGTGTGAGGCAAAGCAGGAGCCTCTGGTGTTGCTGGTGGGAATGTATATGGTGTGGCTGCTGTGGGAAACCACTTGGCCGTTTTTGAAAAAGATAAAGTAAGGTTATACAAGGTCCAGCAAGCCCCATGGCATTTTTTAGGAGCCGGTTCTCTCCTTCCCCATGTGGGAACTCAAGTGGTCAGGCTTACACTCTCATTGGCTGAGCTCTCTTATCAATCTCTCCTCCCCTGCCCAGGGAAGTACTTACTGTCATCTCCCAGGAGGTCACCAAGGACATCATCAATGGAACCTGAAAACAAATGGGACATCAGGACTTCAGGAGGCAAGATGAATGATGTTTATAAACCTGATGTCCTGATATGTCTCTGTCCTAGAGTTCTCTGATCCCAGGCTTCAGGCTGACGCTGACTTTCCCTGGCCATGAGATGGTTTCCAATGGCAACAGCCACAGCTACAGCCACAATGCCCCCAGGTAGAAAGCCTCAAAAAAATTTCCTGAAGAGTGATGGTAATGACTTTTCAGTGAAATCTTTCTACCCACCTCACCCAAAACACACAAGCCAGAGATCAGTTCCAGCCTCTAAGAGGCCAGTGTGGTCCACACACATGAACACTTCTCTCGTATCCCTCTGTACCCCCCAACCCCATCTGACACCTCCTAGAGCTGGCCTGAATACACTCACCCTGGCCACTTTCTGATGGAGGCATGGTGGGAACACCCAGGTAAGCATGGTGGGGACACCCAGGTAAGCATGCTTGGATTAATTCTCCCACCAGCTTTGCCTTCTCACCCTTAGCTTCAACCATATGTCCCTGAATTCAGAGCTCAATGAGAAATATTTTTTCCTACAACTTCATTTATTTATTTGTTGTTAAATGTTGGGTAGTGCAGTCAACCCTGTGGTTGTCTCCAATAAGGGCTGTTCTTTCCACCCTTTTTTCTAGGAGGAGTGTATCAGCAAAGTCTTGCTTCATCAGACTCAGCCTTCTTGATCCTCCAGCTCTGTAGTTTTTATGAAATACAGTCTCTCTCTACACAGCCCTGGCTGTCCTGGAACTATATAGGTCAGCCTGGCCTTGAACTCACAGAGATCAGCCTGTCTCCACCTTCTGCGTGCTGTGATTAAAGTGGTGCATCAATATACCTGGCTCTTTTCTTTTTAAGTTGGAGTAGGAATGGGTGTAATGACATTCGTGTGGGGGTCAGAAGACAACTTGCAGGAGTCAGTTCTCTCCTTCCACTGTGTAAGTCCTTGGGATTCAGGTTATCACGCTTGTCATGAGACACCTTTACCTGCTGGGCCTCCTCACCAGCTTGTAAAAAAAACAAAGGGGGTCTAGCCTTTAACCCCAGCACTCAGGAGGCAGAAGCAGGCGGATCTCTGTGTTTTCCAGGCTAGCCTGGTCTACAGAAGGAGTTGCAGGACAGACAGGGCTCTACAGAGAAACCCAGTCTTGAAACCCCTCCCCCCCAATAGAAGAAAGAGGTGTATTTGGATTAAGGGTGATGTTCCATGGCTCCACTTACCTTTCAATCCTTTCTTGGTTTTCAGTGCCTAAAATGGGAGTGGAGGGAAGAAATCCCATTAGCAGAATGCATCAGTGAGGATGTGCAGGAACTGGGCAGGAAGCGAGAGCTCTCCCCCAGGCCCAGGAAGGAGCACCAGGCACTACAGGTGAAGTGAGTTCTGTTTTCCTCCAGCTTCTGAGAATGAATTTACTCAGAGCCCAGAGACAGTCCATACTAGCCAGCAAAGCCAGGTGTAGATGGACACCTTTCCTCGGACTTACAGATACCACACACAAAAGCCACCAGACAGATGCAATCAATAACCAGCATGCTTTCTTCTGTCGTGTGTCTGATGCGTGTTTAAAAATGCTTCCAACAGGGCTGGAGGGATAGCTCAGCCGTTAAAGGCTAGGCTCACAACCAAAAATATAAAAATGCTTCCAACAGCGAAAGGTGTTGGTGGCATACATCTTTAATCCCAGCACTGAGGAGGCAGAGGCAGGCGCATCTCTGTAAGTTGGAGGCCAAGCTTGGGCTACAGAGTGAGTTCCAGGACAGACTCCAAAGCTACAGAGAAACCCTGTCTCAAAAAAAAAAAAAAAAAAAAAAAAAAAAAGCTTCCAGCAGGAAACGCAGATCTCAAAGGTGGCTCCCCTTCAATCCCAGCACTGCAGGCAGAGACAGGTGGATCTCTGCATCCAGACCAGCCTGGTCCTTTACATAGCAATTCGGGGCCAGTCAGAGCAACAGTGAGAGCATCCCTCAACAAAACCAAACCAAAGAACAACAACTAAAACAGAGGCTCAAGGGAAACTTTGTTCACTGTTTAATTTTTTGGGGGGAGGTGCTAGGAAGGGTCTCTCTCTGTGCAGTCCTGACTGGCCTGGAGTTTGCTATATTAAACAGGCTGGCCTGAAATTCACAGAGATCCACCTGTCTCTGCCTCCAGGTGCCAGGATAAAAGGTCCAGCTCCATGCTTACGTTTGTTTGTTTGTTTTGTTTTTTTCTTATGCTACTCTGCCATAGAGACTATCTCCTGGTCCTTGCCACAAAACTTCTAGAATACTCTATGCAGTCAAATGTTCAGGGTGCAGGGATGGGCTGGGGGTTGCTGATATTTCCACACATCTTACACTGATGCAATCTGCCTACCATCTTGGGCTTTGGGGGCTTTCTGTATCTCCTTCACAGCACTGTTCAGTCATGTGCACTCTCGCTGAACAAGTTCATCCTCCCTAGTAGAGAAAATTAAAGTAGCTGCTTAAGAGATGGCTCAGAAGCAAAGAGCACAACCTGTTCTTGCAGAGGACCTGAGTTGAGTTCTCAGCACCTGTGGGTAGCTCACAACCTCCTGTAACTCCAGCTCCAGGGGGTTCCAAGCCTCTGGCCTTCATGGACACCTGTACCCATATACACTTACATACGAGTTCATATAGTTAAAAATTAAAAATCTTTTTTAATTTAAGTAAATTTTTAAAAATATGTAGTTTAGCTCAACATGGTGACCTCATCCTGAAATATCATAATTTGGGAAAGGGAGGTAGAAAAATCAGGAGCTCAAAGTCATCCTCAGCTACATAACAAATTTAAGGCCAGCCTGGGCTAAGTAAGTCTCAAAAAAACAAACAAACAAAAAACCCAAAACAAGGACTTGAGAGAAGGCTCGGTGGTTATGAGCAGTGGCTGCTCTTCCAGAGGACCTGAATTCAGTTCCAAGCAACCACACGGTGGCTCACAATGAGATCTGGTGCCCTCTCCTGGCCTGCAGGGATAATGCAGACAGAACACTATACATAATAAATAAATCTTACCAAAAAAACACAAAACAAAAAACCTGAAACAATAAATAAATAAAATACAGCAGTTAACAGTGCTTGACTCCAAGCGTGTTAAGAATCCTCTCACCTTAGGAGGTCAAAACCTAGTCATGTGGTGGTGGTTCACACCTTTAATCCCAGCACTCTTGGAAGAGGCAAGAGGATCTCCTGTGAATTCAAGACCAGCATGGTCTACAGAGCAAGTTCCAGCAGAGCCAGGAATAGGCTCACACCCATTTCTGTAAGTTCAGAACTTGTGAACTGGAAGCTGCTCGGTGAATGAAGGTGTGTTTGCCAACATGCCTGACTACATGAGTGGGACCTCAGAACACACGAGACGGAGGGAGAAAACTGACTTCTGCAGGGTTTCCTTTACCTCCATGCACATGTGTGTCCCACCCCCAAATAAATAAGTGCAACTAAAAAATAATAATAATAAAAAAGAATTTCAGAGCTTAGCTTCAATTCCAGAACTTGGAGGGCTGCAACAGAAAGAGCTATTTAACAAGGCCTTCGTCAAGAAAGAAAAAGCTAGGGACCTGAAGCCTTGGCCATTTGGGGCACTTGTTGCTCTTCCTCAGGAGCCAGGTTGGGTTCTCAGTACCTACATGGTGGCTCACAACCTGTGTAACTCCCATGGGCACAGGAGGGACAAATGGGTCTGATGCCCTCTTCTGGCCTCCCAGAGTATTTCATGCATGTGGCACTCTTACATGCAAACACCCCTACACATAAAAAAGAAGAAAAAGTTAAGTAGGCATAGTGGTTCATACTTGTAATCCCAGCACGGAGGGGGGGGGCGAAGCAGGATTGCTATGAATTAGGGGCCAGTTTTGACTATATTGTGATTTTTTTTTAAGGCTAGGGTGAGCGCCTGCCTCAAGAAACAGATTGTGGGGGGGTGGGGAGAGGCACAGAGATTACATGAAAAAGAGAAGGAGACTATGAGAAAAAGAGAATATATGAAGAAAGCGAGATAATGGGAATTCCCAATTCACTTATTGGGCTTTTCTTGGCTTAGAGAGTACTTGGAAAAAGCGGTCCCCATCCTTTACTCTGGGAGAGGATGCTGAAATGGCAAAGAACCATGTGGGAGGGGCAACCACATCCCGGCCCGTTTTACCAAGAATCTCTGCCGAGAATCTGTAGGCAGCATCCAGCATTGTAAGTGTGAGAGTGAGCCCTGGATTCTCCTTTCACAGACGGCGGGCAGCTCGCCCTGGGAACAGATCTTTCTAGCACTGCCTCTCCCACTCCCCGAACCCACCTTCGCATGCCTAGGAAGAAAGGCGGCCGCGGCCCTCATCTGTCTTCCCGGTGTATCTAGCCTCTTACCACAGTGCACAGTGTTTCTGGGGTTGAGGACGCAGGGGGGGTGCTTGTGTTTCTCCCGCGCAATGGCAACTGCAGCGACCTGCAAGTCCAAAGGCCTTTGGCTTGTGTCACGCCAAGGATCCTCCGGATCTCCTAAGCATCCCGTGGCGGCTTCCCGGGGGGTGCGGCGTTTTCTAGGAGCGGCTTGTGAGGGCCCACGGGTGCGAGAAGAACGTCGAGTCTTCACACCCATTCACCCAGCTCCTCCGAGCCATTTTAAACCTCGCGAGCCCGCCCCTCAGCCGCAGCGCTTCCGGGAGTGTGGCGCCAGGCCGGGCACGGAGCCCCTCAAGGTTCCATCCCCCGCGCGCCCATCCCGTGCTCCTCCCAGCCCCCGAGGGCCCTGTTTCGAGCCGTCCTTTCACAAACACGGCCACGGGAACCCAACCCAACCGGAGACCCGGATTCCGATTCCACTCAGTCCGCCCGTTTCCGCCAGGCCTACCACCTGGGCGCCGGCGACATTCCCACCTCGCCGCCTCCGGCCTCAACTAGAAGGCGAAGTGAAGCATTCTAGGTACTGTAGTCCGCGGCCCGCTCCCTTGCGGGCCGAACCCCAGGAGGTGCCGGGAAGAACTACATTTCCCAGCGTGCCCCGCGGCGGGGCGCTTCTCCCGGCTGGAAGTCCGTTGCTAGGAGCTGTTTCAATGCCACTCTAGTGAGGGGCAGGGAAAGCATCCTCGGAGCGTGTGCAAGCTGGTTCCTCGAGCTCTGAGGACTGAGTGGTGACTGTAACCTTCGTGGTCAATGAAGAGGTCAAAGCTGCGCTATCAGAAAACCCAAAACCATCAACAGAGGCACACAGTGGACGCGCCACGCCCGGAATCCCAGCATCTGTAAAGCCCAGACTGATCCAAAACTGCATTTCCTAGGTCAAAACCGGCTGTGGCAGAAATTTGCAGCCAGCTACATAATAGTATCTCAGAACTACACTTAACGCATTTTCTTGGCTGTACTTATTACAGCTTTTTAAAGAGATAGTGTACAGCGGCTCGGAAGGGATGCACAGGGATTCTGGCAGTCGAGAGCCACAGCTCGGATGGAAAGGTATCCTGGCACTCGGGAGCCAAGGAATACCACAGGTCAGCGTAGCAGCTTGCAGCCCTGCTCCGGGGAAAGGCTTCCCCAGTTTTACAGCTCTGCTCTGGCAGGGGAGGGAAGAGGAGGGCTTCCCCAGAGAAGTTGTTACAGTTAGGCTCGGTCCTCCTGAGTGTAACAAGTCGGCAGGCACAGGGTTTATATGGGGTTTCTTAAGGGTGGAGTTTTTCCAGGGTGGGGATTGGTCAGATTTCAATCCCTG